TCAGGCTGAAGTTTGGTCTCCTTCCAGGATCTGAGCAGTATCCAATCCCCTGGTTTGTACTTACGCGCCGAGAATTTCAGTGGTGGAGTCTGCCCCAAAAGTCTTTTCTTCCTCAACTCTAACAATGTAGCGGATAGTGCCAGTACATAGTTCCTCCAAAATCTATCTTTTGTCTCAAAAGTAGGGATGTCTCCGTGCCCTCCTGGATAAGTACATCCAAACAACATTTCATACGATGATATGCCAAGATCTTTCCTGGGTGAAGTCCTAATTCTTATTAAAGGTATTGGCAGGCATTTAGTCCGGGGCAATTTTGTTTCTAACGTTATTTTGGAAACATGCTTTTTAGAGTCTGATTGGTTGTAAAATGACTACCACTGTATGAACCTATATTTTCTGCTAAACTATATTGTGGAATTACATGTTCCAAAATTATTTTAGATACTCCTGCTGCTGTAGCATTAGGCCAAGTGTAAGTTTCAACCCATCCAATTAAATGCTATTTTCTCAAAGCTAGATCACATATCACTTGCACTCTCCAATGACTTCCTTGATGTAGAATTGATAAAATTTCTCTCATGATTTGTTTTTTAACCATTTCTTTCCCATCTGGTAATAACCAATGGCCTTGCTTGGTTTCAGTCACCCCAAATTTAATCAGATCTTTCTTTCTACTTCTGTAAACACAGGGATCACTTTTGTCTCATGGACTTGGGGAATTAACACATGTATTTTTGTAGGTTCCATGGATAAGGCAGCCTCTTTAGCCTTCTCTTCTGCTAATCTTCTTTGCTTCAAATACTCCTCCTTTTTGGTGGCCATTCACATGTACTATGGCAATTTCATTTGGTAACAATAAGTTGGCCAGTACCTGCTTTACCAATTCTTCATGTATTAATTCCTTCCCTTTGCTGTTTCTCATTCCTGTTTCATACCAAATTTTTCCAAATTTATGAACTCCCTCATAAGCATATTTGGAGTCTGTATATATAGTACTCTCTTTTCCTTCTAACAACTTTAGAGTTTGATTAAGGGCATATGATTCACAAGTTTGAGTTGACCAGCTATTAGGTTACCTATCAGATTCCTCTAAAAATTTACTTTCTTTCTTTTTTTTTGGGGGGGGGTGGCTAGGCAATGGGGTTAAGTGACTTGCCCAGCATCACACAGCTAGTAAGTGTTATGTGTCTGAGACTGGATTTGAAATCAGGCCCTCCTGACTCCAGGGCCAGTGCTTTATCCACTGCGCCACCTAGCTGCCCCCTAAAGAATTACTTTCACCATCAATGACAGCATACCCATTATGTCCTTTTCCCTCTATTACTCTGGAAGATCCATCAGTGAAAAGATGACACCCCTCATGGAGGGGGACGTTTTTCAAATCTGGGTATACACTTGTTTGATACTCTATGATGTCAAGGCAATTATATTCCAAATTTTCATATGCTGTCTCTCCTTCTTGAAGGAAAGAGGCAGGATTGATACAAGATTCAGTCACTAATACCAAATCATCCTTTTCTGCATATTGTAATTTCTTTTTTGACACTCTAAGACCTTCCTTCCCGAGGAAATTTAGCAAAGCATTTGTTGCTTCCACTACTTTATTTTTCCTTTCTCCTGATATCAATAGATCATCTACACAGTGCAGTAAAGGGGTTCCTTTTGGCACTGGAAGTGTTTCTAATAATTGCTCCAAAACTAAAAAAAAATACATTTGGGGATTCTGTAAATCCTTGAGGTAGACCAGTCCACCTAAATTGTTGTTTTCTTTCTGTAAGGGGGTTCTTCCATTCAAAGGCAAATAAATATCTACTTTCTGGAGCGAGGGGGCAGGTCCAGAAGGCATCCTTTAAGTCTACTGCACTAAACCATCCATCCTGGTATGGAATTTTTCCCATGATGGTATAAGGATTTGTGACCACTGGACGTCTTACTGAAACTATTTTATTACCTGCCAGTAGTCCTAGACTAAACGATAGGACCCATCAGGCTTATGGACTGCAAAACAGGAGTGTTATATGGAGACATGCAAGGTTCCAATAACCTGTCCTTTATTAATCCCTCAATAATTGCTTATAGCCCCTTCCTCCCTTCCATGAGAATGGGGTATTGTCTCAACCGCACCACTTCACCTTCTTTCTTCAGGGTCACAGCCAATGGAGGGATTTTCAAACCGCCTCTGTTTCCTTCTCCAACCCAGACTATTGGATCTATTCACTTCTCTTCTTCTTCTGTTACTAATGCTATTTTCACTTGGTTATACCTTCCACTTTGAAATTCAAAAATTTCACCATTAAATCCCTCCCTAATAAATGACTCTCTGCCTCAGGAAGAAATGGCAGGTGTCCAATTATATCTTCTTCTTTTAATTTTAAGTTAATTGGTTCAAATATGGCTACTGAGAATTCTTCTCCCTGAACTCCAGAGACTGTAAGTTCCTGAGTAGAAAATTTTACCCCTTCTGATTTGAAATTCAGAGATGATCTAGTCCTAGGTGTCAACTAAGAAAACCACTTCCTCCTCCCATGGTCCCACCTTTAAGTTTATCAAGGGTTCTGGCTGGGGCCAATCATTGAGAAGCCCTGACCTCCCCATTCCTCATGAAAAGTCATGAGAAGTGCTAATTTTCCTTCCTTCTTTAGTTCAGGACATTCCCTCTTAAAGTGCCCAAATTTTCCACAATAGAAGCATCTGGCCAAATTAAAGGGGTTATAATTTGGGTTACCTCTGCCCTCCCTCTTCCTTTTCCTCTTCCTGCCCTCATCCATTCTCCTTGTGGAGCCTTCCTCCCTTTCTCTCCCTTTCCTCTTCTATTTCCTGATCCTTCCCCTTCCAACCTTCTCTTAATCACCTCATCCCTGGCTGAAACCATGATTTTGGCTTTCTGTCTCTGCTTCTCATCTTCCCTCTTCACAAACACTTTCTGTGCCTCCTTAAGCGACTCATCTAATAGTTTCTCACTCCATCCATCAATTTTCGGCATCTTTTTCTGGATGTCTGGCCAAGATTTGGTGACAAAATTGACCTTTAACAAGCTTTGAGCCATCCCGACTCAGGCTCCATACCTCAGTACTTTCTCATTTGATCTCTGAGTCTTTGCAGGAATGCAGAGGGGGACTCATTTTTCTCCTGTTGAATCTTAAAAACTTTGTTGAAATTTTGAGACTTAGGTACAGCTTCCTTGATTCCTTTAATTATCAGTTCTCTCAGATTTCTCCTTTCTCCTTTCTCCTATCTACCAGGTCATTGTTGTCCCAATTAGGGTCAGTATTTGGAAATTTTTGTTCTGCAGCTAGCCCTCCCAGGGCAGGTGGATTATTCTTCTTCCTTTCTCTCATACCTGCCCTCCTAATCATGCCCTTTCTTCCCCTGAGAATAATATATTCATAATTGCCATCATTTCAGACCAGGTATAAAAACTGAGGCCTAAAAATTGGTCTAATTGATCTGTTAAGCCAATTGAGGCCTGTATCAGAGAGTTCATTTCTTTCTTAAAATTCCTAACTTCAGTACTAGTTAAAGGGGTGTTTACATATCCAGTCTCCCCTTGTCCCATTGGGACCTCCCTTAAAAGGTTTAATTTAGGCTCCCCTTTCTCTGCAGAAAGAAGGGGGTAATTCTGGAGATCCTGCTGACATTGTTCCAATTCTTTCCTTAATTTACTAAAGGTGGGAGTACTACATGCCCCCAAACTTCCTGGATCTTTCTTCGAGTTCTCAGCATTCTTTCCCTTATTCCCTAGATCTGTCAAATTTGTATCTGGAACCCTGGGTGTAGGAAAATAAGGGGGCAGAAGGGAAAGAAGGGGGTCCCATTTCAGAGAATCTTCCTCCTTTTTGCATCCAAGTTTTCCTGTCTCCTTTGTCTCAAGTGGAAACAATTTAACAGAACTCTTTCCTTTCCAGCAGGAGGCACAATCATACTCCTCCTGACTGGAAGGATCTTTGTTATTCATAAAAACATTTAATATTTGACATACTGTGTGAGGTGTTTGTGACCCCCTTGTAATAATCAGTCAGAGACTTTTCTTAAGAAAGGCAAAAAGGAGTTTTATTGCTTTCTCATGAAAAAAGGTACCGCCCTGCTCACCTTGTGCAACAGCCAGGAGAATACAAATTGGTGACAGAAAGCAATCCTTATTTATACCCTAATGTGAGCTCCTCCTCCCTAACCCCCTTCCCCTTATCCCACTGGCTGGGCTTCAGGAGGCACAATCTAGTCATAGCTTTCTTCCCCAGCAACAGAGAACAAAGGCAGTTACACAAGTTTGCCCAAAGACAAGAAAAGGCAGGAAGTCTTGCAAGGGCAAGCAGTTCAGGTTGGGGGTAGGGCAATTATTTTTGCTACACGTTTACAAACAGGGTCTGAGCAGGGGAGAGTTTTGAAAACAATACAAAGCCTGGTAACAAGAACTACTGATCTTTGAGCAGGCTTCACTTCTGAGAGATCACCTCTGACAATACCCAGTCTTCATCTACTCCATATTTTGGCTAAAACACTGCTGGTGGTAAATTGCTCTGTCAAGGCCAAGTAAAACAGCAATACTTTATCATTTTCTTCTTATCCTTCCCTCTTGTACAAGAATTATCATTCCAGTCTTTCAACATCCTCCCTAAAGGACTTTCTGGAGGGACATTTCCTGGAGCCCTCTCTTTCTCCTTGCCTGGAACCTTAGTTACCTTATTTCCCATTCTACCTACTTTCCTGAGATATCTTGAGCGTAGAATACCCACCTCTTAATTAAGGGTTCAGATTTGCAAGTCTAGGCTTGCACCTGCAGAGCAAAGTCCCACATACCTGTACTTAAAAAGTACACCTCACCCTCTCAGTCTCAGACCCCACTGACAAGGTAATAACTTAATAGGATAGATTTTCTTACCTTGCCCCATATAAGAGCCTGCACAGGTGGTCACTGCCCTGCATGACTGTTTTCCACTTTTCCATTTACCCTTCCTTTTCAAGCAGTCTCGAGTCCCTGCAGTTGGACAAAAGGTGCTCACCTTCACAATGGGGTGTACCTCCCCACCTTTTGAAGACGATTGCCTTTCTTCCTCCACGCTTGGTATTTTGGACAATCCCCCAAGGAACGTTGATAAATAACTCATTTGGACTCAGCAGGGATGAAGTTAAAAGCTGAGTTTATTGTGCATTTGCAACCACGCATGTCCTATGAACTAGGACACATTGCACCAAATCAGTTCACTATTTATCTCTAATCCTGGCTGCAAGGTCCCTCCTCTGTTTCTCCATTGGCTGAGTACTCCGGAGTGTACAACTTTCCAGTACAGCTATTACACACGTACTCCTTGACATGTGATTTCTCCTTCTTCATACATCCCATGTTCAGAAAATGGTGTCTTAGCCCCTCCTGGAGGTAGAGAAGCTAATATTTACAAGCCTGTTAAGCATGTGCACTCTAAGCAAAGCTTAACATTTGTACTACTTACTAACTTCTATCGGGAAAATAACACCAGCTTTATCCTGTTTTTTCCTAGTTATTTTCAATTTTATGGAATCTTTTATTCTGATTAACTCACTTCTATCAGCAAAACAAGAGATCTACTATACCCTGTTTTACTTAGTTACTTCTCTATTTCCTACAAATTTATGGAATCAAACATTTTTCCTCGTATCTCTCATTTGCATTTCAAGGCTTCTACTTTACTCTTAGACATCAGGAAAGCTTTAAAGAGCTCTATTCCATTTAATATCTATATTTTTCGTAGAGGATAATCCTCAGTCTTGTAAGCCAAGTTATTCTTGTTTCTATGTTTTTATTTTCTTTTGGGAAATATCATATTGCAAGATTTTTTCTCCTTTAAAATACAATAATTGCCATCAAGTCTTATATAATCCTGACTGTGGTTCCTTGGTACTATACCTCTTTATTTTTGGTTCTTTAAAGTACTTTTGATCTGGAAGCTAGGTAGTACAGTAGAGTCCAAAAGACCTGAGTTTGAATCCTCTCTCAGACACTGGTTGTGTGACCCTGGGTTAATCACTTAACCTCCATCAGCCACAGTTTCCTCACATGTAAAATGGGCATGAAAATAGCACCTACTTCCCAGAGTCATTGTGAGAATAAAATGAGATACTATTTGTAAAGTGCTTTGCAAACCCAAAGAACTTTATAAATGCTAGCTATTGGTATTATGACTACTCCTAAGACTTGTACTGATGGCTTCTTTCTATTTTTCTTTTACCTTCTGCTTGTAGTAGATCTGGATAGTTTTTTATAATGATTTCTTCGAAAAGAACAATAATAATGGCTGTCAGGGAATTCAATGATTCTTAAACCATCTCCTTACTAAGTGCATAAAGTCAGTGATTGGATCCAATAATATCACTGCAAGGCTTATACCTCAAAAAAGATAAAAGATTTATAGTGGTCCTTTTCTGTTTCATTTTGGAAAAGCATAAAAGGATATTTATTATTTTTGAGAGAACCAGTAACACTAGTATATCTGATCAAATGTACATAGATTATGAAATGTTACACAAGATAAAGAAGAATGAGAATTTATCGTAGGCATTAATTTAATTCGTGGCATCTTAGGAACATGATAGATAATATATAACTATCTCTGATCCTATTTTGCCAGTGGGAAAAAGAAGTAATATAATTATAATGACCAGTTTAAATGGATTATGAATGTTGTGTTAATAAAGTGGTACTTTTTATAGTGGCAAAGAATTGGAAATGATGGGAATGTCCATCATTTGAAGAATGACTGGGCAAAATTATGAGATATAAAGGCAAGGGAATATTATTGCCCCATAAGAAATGACAAAAGGAAGGATTTTGGAGAAACCTGGGAAGACTTATATGAAGTGATGTAAATTAAAGTGGGCAGAACCAGGAGAAAAACTTATACAAGGACAACAACATTTGAAAGAAAAACAACTTGAAAAGTCTTAAGAACTCTGTTCAATGCAATTATCAACCATGACTTCAGAAGAGTGATGATGAAGCATGCTACCCATCTCCTAACAGAGCAGGAGTAGACTTAAGATACAGAATGGGACATTTTTGGATCTGGCTAATATCAAACTTTGTTCTGCTTGGCTAAGCATATTTGTTACAATGGATTTTTGTTTGTTTGTATTTTTTCTTTGTTTTTTACTGTTCTTCAGTTGGTGAGGAAGTAAAGGGAACTAGGAATGTGAGGAATAGGACTTTCCCCCCCCCAAAAAAAAATGAAAGGAGAATAGGATAAAGGCCAGAAGGAATAACAGACAAGCAGGATAACTTTGATAGTTAAAAAAGTTTGATAGTTAAAATTGAGCACTACATAATAGAGATCTCAGTTCCATGTGCAATCTTCCCCTTCTGTTCTACAGTGTAAATGGAAATGCCCATTTTATTTGGTATTTGCGTAGTTCAGAATCTAAAAAAATAAATAGAATTTTAATAGTCTCTCCTTGCCAATAGTTTTTTAATGGGCAATGGCTTACCTTCATATATATATATATATATATATATATATACATACACGTATATATGTGTGTGTTTATGTTTAGTTTTTTTTATTTTGTTGTACTATTTCTTCTTATCTCATGGAGTCACTAAGTTCTATTTACTCCTTTCTAATTTTCAGGATGTGTGCTACTTGAGGAAGGTTTGCTTTTGCTTTTTCGTTTGGCCAGGCAATGGGGTTAAGTGCCTTGCCCGGGGTCACACAGCTAGTAAATGTTATGTGTCTGAGGCAAGATTTGAACTCAGGTCCTCCTGAATCCAGGGACAGTGCTCTATTCACTGCACCACCTAGGTGCCCCCTTGAGGAAGGTTTTCAATCTTTTCTTCTAAGCTATTTATTCTCCTTCCACTTTTTCCCCTTCACAGATCTTCTTTCAATTTTTATTTCATTTTAAAATCTCTGGCTTCATTTCCTCTTGGTGCTCTTGGAGTCCTTGTGGCCAATCCATTGTGTTTAAGGCGGTTTTTGTAATTGTTCCCCATTTTCCTTGTTGGCTTCTCTTGATTCCTATGATTTCTTCCTAGTGTTCAGTGTCTTCTTCTGTTTCCTCATATCTCCAGCCTTAGTTCCTGGGCCTTTGTGCCAGGGCCAGTTTCTACCCCCAGCCACATAGGGTAGTCAAGTCATAACCTCTATTTCCTTAGATCCTGCTGTTGGTTTTCTTTCACCTTGTATCTGTGGTCTCAGAGTGCTGGCAGGTGTCAGTATTCCTAGCCTGAGCTCTGCAGGTGGCTGTCAGATCTCTGCCATGATCTCCTAAGGATCCCTCCCCCTTCTCCTGGACTTTTCAGAGTCAGAGGCTACTGGGACCTTCATTCCCTACTGGTGCGTCCCCAGTCAGGACACTGCTGGACCTCTGGGCTGTGTCACCAGAGCTTATGCTGACCTAGGTGTTGAGGGCCGATCTTAAGAGTCTGATAAGGGTTTAAGATCCAAGGCAGAATTTGACCTCTGCTCAGGCTTTCACCCCAAAGGGCTCAGGGATTAAGTGGTACGGCTCCCCAAATTCCTTCCTGATAAAGAGGTCTCTGAGACATCCCTTCTCTCTCTTTGAACCTTAGATTTACGTATTTACTCCTCTATGCAGGTGGCGCCTAGGCACCTGGGAAAACCTTGGAATCTACAACCCAATCTAGGAACCCTGATAAGGAGGAAATTCATGATTGTTACATCCTCAGCAGATGCTCTGGGGAGTATCTCACGGGGAGGACTCTTTGAAGTTAGGCTAGATCTTCCCTATATATTCTGTGCCCTCAGATGAATAAACTGAGTCAGTAATTCTACTCTGCCTGGCCCATGTCATAAGTTATTTCACGCCTCTCCGTTCGGTGTACAATCTGGTTGCGGGCAACACCTAGGGACCTATCCTCCAGTGTTCTTCCTTCTATCTTTTTGGGCAATCCTGGGCTGGATGGAGGAACTCACTCATGTTTCTCTTCTTGATCCTTTTTTGATCTAATGGCTTTACATGATATCTTTTCTAGATAATGTGGGGAAGCTAGGCTCCTCTGTGTCCTTCATCTTGACTGGAACTTCTGATCCCTTTTATACCTTTACCTTATTGCCATCCTTATATAAATCATCCTTCAGTCCCACTTATTTCACTGTACATCAGCTCATACAAGTCCTAATGGGTTGGATTTCAAAGGGCAGACTTGGCTGAGAGGGCATTCCAGGTGAAGGGAACAGCCTATAAGATATCACAGAGAGAGGAAAGGAAATGTCACTTTTGGGGTATGAGGGGAGCAATCGTCCAGTTTGTTTCATGCACACTTAAACTCATTGTGCTCGTCACAGACTTGAAAATTTGTAGAATCCCTATCTCTAAACCTCCTGAGGCCTAAAGTTGGATATAAAAAATAACCTTAAATGAAATGAGTGGGTTGAACTGGCTAGCTTCTTGGGTCCCTTCCAAATGTAGATTTATGATCTCATTTGGATAAATAAGTTTTGTGTGTCAGATCTCTTTGCCCTTTTCCAGAAACATTCATTTGGAGAGGCATTTGCCACCAAATATAGGAATTAAAATGAACAGAACTTAATCAATTCTTTTGTTCCTTTTCTGCATAGTATCCCTTCTGAAGAGACCAGACAGAGCTGGAACTCAGAGAGACATGAACTTTTGGTCTTGGCTAACTTCCGGGTTCAAACTGGCTTTAGGAAACATACTGAAGATCAAAGACTTGACTTTCAGAGTGACAGAGAATGCATGGATTGGAGGGAGTGTAGCAACCCAGCTGGCATCCTTCCTTATGCTGAACCTTTCTCTAGTCATTTGAGCTGTAGGCCAATGGAGGAGCCCTGGGATCTGGGAATTCCAGGGCCTCCTAGCACCTCTCTAAGATATAAATCAGAATTTGTTAGTGAGGCAGAGTTGGAATTTACACACAAACACACACACAACACACACACACACACACACACACACACACATACACACACCTCCTAATCTTGTTGGGAGAAGTTCACTCCCCAGTCATTTATTTCATCTACTTTCTGTCCCTTTCCTAGAGGATGGGACAAAATGGAAATTGGCCATTTGGTTTCTTTTGCCAACAAACCCCTTTGCTGAGAGGAGTACTTCCTCCCAATAGAACTGTAATCTATTTACATGGTATTATTTTAAGGTTTTTTTTCAGGGTTCATGGGAAGTTATATTAATGTAAGGAAGGTACCCCAGTGAGAC